GGGGGGGGGGGGGGGGTAAACTTTTGGGCGAGTGAAAACTTATCCGGGCGAGTGCATTTTGAGGGTTACTCGCCCGAATGGCGAGTGCTCTCAAAATTAAGTGTCCAACCCTGTATTATGGACGACAGTCAAGAAAGGCCAATAGCCTGTGCCTCCCGTACTCTAAGCTCAAGCGAGAGAAACTATGCAGGGATCGAATGCAAAGCTTCGTCCATTGCGTATGGGGTTAAAAAATTTCATCAGTTCCTACATGGACGAAAATTTACACTAGTAAAAGATCACCAGCCCTTGCTAGTGTTGTTAGGCCCACAACCAGCCATTCCCACAATGGCGGCTGCACGTATGCAGTGATGGGCCATTGTCTCTTCTGCATATGATTATCAAATTGAGTACAGAAGGTCAGAAAAACATGGTAATTGTGTTGCGCTCTCCTGGTTGCCCCATGAGGACTCAATGTTAGGGTGTAAAAGTGAGATTTATAGAGTGCGCGCTATTGATGAGGACTTCCCAAAAACAGCAAAGGATATTGGGAAGGCCACTGTGCTAGACCCATTGCTTAGTAGAGTACTCGATTTTGTCATGACAGGATGGCCAGAAAAATGTGATGAAGAAGAACTAAAACCCTATCACATTTGTAGTCAGGAGCTCTCCTGCGAAGAAAGCTGTGTTTTGTGGGGCTCTAGAGTGATCATTCCACAAGTGTTTAGAGAGAAAATGTTAAAAGAATTGCACTAGGAACACCCTGGCACCCTTGCAATGAAGGCCATAGCCTGCACATGTGTCTGGTGGCCAAAGATGGATGAAGAAATCGAGAAAGAAGTGAAATTGCGTACAGTTTGCCAGAATGTGAGGAGTTCCCCACCCAGTGCTCCTTTGATACCTTGGAAGTGCGCTACCCGGCCCTTCCAGTGCATTCACACTGATTTTTATCAAAAGGGGCACAATCAATTTTTAGTCGTGATTGACAGTCATTCTAAATGGCTCAAGGTAAGACATATGTCCTCAACTACCACAGAGCGTACTGTTGGTGAGCTACATCTCATATTTGCCCAACACAGCTTGCCGGAGGAAGTGGTATCGGATAATAGACCACAGTTTCCCTCCAACAAATTTGCCGAATTTACGAGTAAAAACGGGATCAAACATACCCTAGTGCCACCCTATCACCCTCAATCAAATGAGGCAGCCGAATGATAGGTCAGGGTGGTGAAGGAAGCTTTAGTGAAACAGGTTTTGGAAGGCAATAGGGCAAGGCCCATGGAACATAGACTAGCTGATTTTCTTCTGAGATACTGCACAACTCCACACAGCACCACGGGTGCAACGCCAGCTGAGTTGTTAATGAAATGCTGTCTGTGTACTCGCTTAAGTCTTGTGAAACCTGACCTAGCCCAAGAGATTGAGAATAAACAGAGAAAACAGGAGCAATTATAAGGATTTAAAGAATCATAAGGATATGCAGTTTTCAGAAAATGACATAGTTTGGGTAAGGGACACTCAACCCAAAGGTAATGTTGTGAGGTGGATCCTGGGAAGGGTAGTTAAGGTGTGTGGACCTAGAACTTATTTAGTGAAAACTGGACATAAGGCTTGATATGTTCATGCTGATCATTTAATTAGGGCTCATGATAAAGGGCAAAATGAAGCAAGTGAAATTGAGATATCAGTTTCTGAGTTATGTGACCAATCTGTTCCAGTTCTAGACACTGAGTTTCTCATGATGTATCGCACCCTACCAATGAGGAATCAGAACCTAGTCCTTGTAAAGAATCATCGCCAGTTATTTTAAGGCGATCGTTGAGAAACAGAAAACCCGTTGACCGACTTAATCTGTAGCTTAGGCTGCTGTTTATGTTTCTGTACCATTGTTGTTTGTATCTCTCATATGGGGAAAAGTAGTGTAATATATTGAGTACCCTCTATGAAAGCTGTCATTACCCATAATGCTATGAGGAATAAAAGTTCTCATTGGAACCCGCCATGATGTGTCCTGTTTAGTGTCGAGTCATGCAGTTTGATTAGTACATTACATTCCTGTTGTGTGTGTTCTGTTCTGCCGAAAACACCAACCATAGCAATTGAAGAGAGATATTAATAAAAGAAACGATATTTTTGAGGAATTTCAAGGTGCAAAGCCTTAATGCCTAGACACAAATTTCAACCTAAGTCAAATTAAATGAAATCCATTGAAAAATACCGACAATATTAAACTTAGCAATTAATACGCCTACCAAAAGACAGTAGGAAGATCAACAACAAAGGTCGGAATGTCAAGAAAGGACAGGCCTTTTAACGAAAAAAAAGGCAACATGGAACCTAAACCTAACCCTTTCTGCTCACTGACGAACAATACTCCTATAGCTATCAGAAGTATCCAGAATGTTCAGAGTGTTAAGCATACGGTGAAGCCTTTTTCTTTCCTATGAAATTTTCCCGATGAATCATTTTATACAAAGTTGATTTTTTCCTAGTCAAGTCAGTGTGGTAATGTTCTCTACGTAAACTATTTGTTTTTTGTTTATATTTGTCGCCATTTTTACAGTGCTTCAAAATATGTTTATAATTTTTTGTTGGCAAATAAATAAATATATTTACCTTCACCTTTTTTACTGTGGGTTTGATACTTAAGCGTTTTAGAGTCAGAGTGTAGCGGGCATTCAATGGATATTTTTAGTGCAGAATATCCTGACATTGTGAATTATTTGGTACCCCAACTTGGTGGATTAACATGCAGCAAATGAAAACTTACAAGTCTATAGTAAAGTTCACATTGCATTAATTTATGTCCAATGAAAGCAATTCTCTGCCAAAACCATTAACAGAGCTATAAAATGCGCAAAGTTTTGGTATGTCACTTTCAGAAAATACTCTATGAGCTGAATATACAGGGCTAAGTAAGCGAAAGTAACTGCCAAACTACGAGAAACCAGTCAAGCAACTAAGTGCAGTTTTGAGAGCAGGGCAAGTAACTGCTTCAAAGTTCTTAAGACAATCAACAGACAGACGGCCTTTACTTTAGCACGATGATATTAAAAGCTATGCAGCTAGGAGGTTGCGCATAACAACTAAACCTAAAAACGAAATATATACATAATAAAACAACATAAAATTGGACTATCTAAAACCTAATTGTCAACAACTCTGACTAAACTATGTATGTGCATCATTAAAAACTCTAAAATCCTTTAAATACAAGTAAAATCTTTACGTCTAAAATTTGTAGTTGTTGTAGAAGTCTCTTTAAAAGTCAACTCTTCAAAATGTTCATTGAACGGGTTTTCCTCTTGAGCTGTTCATAACTTATGTTTGCAAAATTCTTGTCCGTAGAAATTAAAGTATTCCCTAGTACGGGGCCGCTATGAGTGATAGAGTTTTTGCCAAAGGTAGAGCTGAAACAAGGCACAGAAAGAGAGTCTGCAGCCAATCAGCAACACAAACAATGAAATTTCACTAATGAAAAATCATCGTTTGCGGTGTCTGATTGGACGAACAATGTTTTTCACTAGTGAAAAGTGATCGTACGGCAAGCCACATCATCCTTGGCGCGAAAACTGGCAAGCCACCTTTTTATTTTCAAGATGTCGGAAAGGTTTGTGGACGTCGGTTCAGTTGACAATTTTATTGCAGAACACGAAAACAAAGCCACATTACAAAAAACACAACGAGATGTAAAACTTTTGCAAACCTTTTCAGGAACCAGGAATGAGCTTAGAAAAGTCGAAGAAATTCCAGCACTAAAGTTAAACAAATACATCTGCGAGTTTATCATTTCGGTCAGAACCAAAGATGGGAAAGACTATGAGCCTTCTTTGCTCCGAAGTCTATTGGCAAGTTTTGAACGACATCTGAAAAAGAACAGCTACTCTGCCAGTATCATGAATGACCTCGTATTTGAGAAAACAAGAGAAGTCCTCCTGTCCAAACAAGAAGAGTTAAAGAAGAAAGGAAAAGGAAACAGGCCAAACGTTTCAATAGCTTAGACCAGTGATGAAATGAATACGCTCTACGAAAAAGGCCTTCTTGGTACATGAAATCCTGAAGCACTGTTGAACACACTCTGGTTAAACAACACTATGCATTTTGGCCTCAGAGGCTGCAAAGAACATAGAGACATGTGATGGGGCGATGTAAAGTTGAAGGAAACAGCTGATGGTAAGGAATATTTGGAATTTAATGAAAGACAAACCAAAACAAGAACCGGTTCAGACTGCCGCGATATCAGGGCAATGCCGCCTAAAATGTTTGCCACTGATGGATCAGAAAAAGATCCTATAGTGGTCTACAAGCTCTACGCCCAGAAGAGACCTGAGAAAATGAATGAAGACGATGCTCCCTTTTATTTAGCTGTCAACAACAACTTAAAGGCAGAGTCGCTTCAGACGAAAGAGTGGTTCAAAGTTGGTCCTGTTGGCATAAACAAACTTAACGGTCTTATGAAAACTATGGCTCAAAAAGCAGCAATAAACAACGAACGTCTCTGAAATCACAGTGGTAGAAAAACTATGATACAAACACTCCGCGAAAATGATATGCTACTGACTCATATCGCTCAGTTGTCAGGACATAAAAATCTAAAAAGTATCAAAAACTACAGCAAGGTCTCGACAAAACAGCAGATGAAAACGTCTCAAGTTCTTAGCAGTGTTGTAGCTGGTACTGCAACCAAGACATCCTCGTACGAAAAAGCCAATCCAGTCATTTCTCCATGTACTTCTGAATCACAGCAATCTATGGCTTTGTTCAGCAGGGCTGTAATTCAAGGAGGCAATTTTTCAATCAACATTAACACAGTTAATCAGTCACCAAAGCTCACACTAGAGGAATCTAGCCCAGCAGAAGCCTTGCCACGATGGAAGAGACTGAGGCCTTTGGAGGACAGTGACGATGAGTAAAAACATTGCTATGATATGAATATGTTGTTATATATCACTAGCTTTAAAATTTCCTCTTTTCCCTTTTGCAGAAATTTTGCAAAGAAAAAGTTTTTACGCTTTAGAGTGAATAAAACTCATTTCATTGTCTAGAAATTTTGAAAAGATGTTGAATTTTTAAAGAGTGTATGAGTAAATAAAACTCATTTCATTGTCTTGTCGCTGTTAATTGTCATTATTGTTTGAAAGAAATCTCAGTACTTATAAAATAAACAAATAACTTCATGGTTGGTTTGCTTGTATGATTTTTATTCACTTGTTGTGAAGAATCGCAAACTCACTCGTTCGCTGCACTCACTTGTTCGTTTACGATTCTTCACAACTCATGAATAAAAATCGTACGCACTCACCAACCATGAAGTAATCTCTATCTTTCAAATGCAACTAGATGAAGGAGGGCGTTATGGTGATGAAGGGCTAGTAAAAGCATTTACCGGCTTCTACTTCATAGCAAAAGAGGAGATGGCAAACAGCAAAGTATTGCCACTTCTTAAACTCCTAGAAGTCTTGGGGGCAAGAGAGATTGGAACTTTTGGACATAGATCCAAAGGGTCTCTCCATGAAATTTTTTGCACTATTGGAGAGGCAGTCCTTGACCAAATAAATGACTAAATATCAGACTGTGGCAGTGTTGGATTATTATGTGATAATGTTACAGATATAGCAACATTTGAGCAAATGTTGACATTTGTTCAGTATGTTCACAGCAGTGAACAGTGTTAGATTTCTTACCATTGACAATCTTCTGGCCGAATCAACAAGTTCTAATGCAGCTACAATGCTTGCAGTTCTTGAGCAACTTTTTCAACAGCTGGGCATTGAGATGTAAAAAACTGCTTTCTTTGCAAGTGATGGTGCATCAGTAGTGATGGGCAAAACAGGCGGCCTTGCTGCCAAGCTGCGAGATAAGCATTGTCCAACGCTGCTTAACATACACTGTGTTTGCCACAGGCTTGCACTTGCCTGCACACACTCTGTGGGAGACATTGCTCAGGTTGGAAGAGTGGAAACAAACTTGCAACAACTATGGAAGTACTTTGACAACTCCCCAAACCATCTCTCTGTGTACACTAAGGTTCAAGAAAAGCAGAAGCAAGTTCACCTGAGCATGGATGGTAGGAAGAAGGTTACAAAGCGTCTCCAAAAGGCATATAAGACGAAATGGTTGTCTTTCGACAAGGCTGTAAAAGCTGCTCATGAAGATCTTGACTACATACTTTTGTGCTTGAGTGAACTGGCAGATGGACTGTTGAAGAAGTTTAAGTCTCCAGACTGGATAGCAGCCCTGTACATACTTACAAATGTTCTACCTGTGCTATCACTATTATCATGAACCTTTCAACAAGGTAGCATAAACTTCAGCCAAATTCAGCCCAGCATTGAAATCACAGTAGCCAGTCTACAAGCTATTCCTGAACAAAACAAAGCCTTGTCTCGCCTCAACTCTGATTTTGGAGAGGGCAAAAGATTTCATTTCTTGTTATCGGGCATTTCAATTACTGAAAGAGTTCTTGAAAGAGCAAGCACAATGCAAGTCAAGTATGTGACCAAATTGGTGGAAAATGTTCACAACAGATTTGATTCTGATGCAATGTCTGTTGTCTCTGCATTCAAGATATTCAATCTTATGGAACTTCCTTCAAAAGAGTCAGAAAAATGTACTGATTATGTACTGGCAGAGGTAAAGACACTCGCACAACATTTTTTCCCATCCAAAAAGATGTTTGACCAGGTAACGGCAGAGTTATGCCTGCTTAAGTACCACATGCTGACCTTCGTATCAAATGCAAAGAATGCAAGTTCAACAGAAATTTGTTTATCAACTCTCTTTGGTAACTCAGCTTACACAAAAGTCATGCCAGCCATTCTACAGATTGCAGAAGCTTCCCTTTCCATGCCTGTAAGTAGTGCATGGCCAGAGCAGGCTGCAAGTACTGTGAAAAGAATAATGACAAGACTTAGGGGCTTGCTGTGAAAAAGCGGCAAACTACAAAAGAAAGAAGAAAGGTCAAACGGAGTCTACAGACAGCAATGCCAAAAAGCCGTGATGTGGGTTGCCAAGCAGACATTCAAAACTGCCAAATTCTGCAACCAGAAGTTGGAACATCCACTCAAGATAAACCACTGGAGAGTATGGAACCGGAGAACCCGTTAGATTCTGAGGACACAGTGGAAGATGAGGAAGTGGAATTGCACACCGAGGAGGAAATCACTGAGGAGCAGAACACTGAGGATGTTTATCACATTATTAACCAGGCTGAATGCAGTTCAGACATTGATTCAGCCTTGGGCTCAGAATCGGAGGATGATTTCTAATACTTAACAAATTGCAATTTCTCATTCTAAGAGGTAGTTTTCACTCAGATTCCCTATCTCATCCTCAAATGTCAGAGAACTAAATTAAAATGTCTGTCCTTTATACTGTAGTCTACAAATTCCAGGAAAAGGCTTAAAATGGTATTTGGGCCTCTGTGACCCTAGCAGGCACAGGAAGAGCTTACTGCAAATTTAGACTTAGACTTAATAACAGTTTTTTGCTCTCGATTGATTGTCTTTCTGGTGGGAAATACCTCTTGAAAACGATGGAAATGGCATTTGCGAGACTCTAGATTTCAAAATTTTCGCTGCGGGTCAGGTGAGGTGGGGGGCCTACTATTCTTTATCAGCCATCCCAACTGACTAATCATTAATCGTACTGTTCTTTTCAAGAAGTGAGACTTGTTAGAATTTCTCTGAGGACAGGCAATTTTTGGCAATGTCAAAAGGTTAAACTCATTTTGCTTCCGGGGGCTTTGCCCCCTGGATCCACAATGGGGCTGTGCCCCTGTACCCCGCCAGGGGCCTTGGCGGCCCCCAAACCCTTCGCCTGTGGGGGGGCCTCTGGCGCCCATAGCCATCGACTTTCAAAATATCTCCACCTACTTCAAATCTTATTGACAGTCCTGATTTACATAGATTTCAGGTGAGCTGAAGTGGGGCAAAGATACTGGAAGGCAGCTAAAAAACCCTCCTCACCATATATGTCCAAGCTCTGACACCCAACATTTAAGATCGCCTTTGAAATTCTCCAAAATTCATTGAAGCTAATGGCATCTTTGACCCTCTTTCTCTTCCTTTAAGCAAACACAGCTTTTAAGAATAGGGTGATGAAGAAGTGAAGATTGTTGATAGTCAGGTTTTCCAGAGATGAAGACAAGGCAAGACAGTTACTTTGCCCATAGTCCAAAGATGGATATTTTCTTTCCAAAAAGAAACTCCAAGCACCAGCTGAACATCATAACAGTACCCCTTCACATCCCTCACACTCAAGACAAAGGAATTTTCCACCCTTCAATCTTTGACGAACAACTTTTTGTGGCTGAAGTTGGATTTTCCTTACCCTGTAGTAATGACTGGCCAGAGTGAGGAGGTAGCGTCATTAACATTACAAAGACAATTAAAGTCTTGCAACCATCTGAATAATGAGACACTGAACTCCAAAAGCAAGTCTCTATTAACGATCCAGAAACTGACCAATTGATTTTGTCAAATCAGCTGTAAGAAACTGGGAAGCAGAAGCAAAGGAGAAGGACCGTTATTGGAAGGTGGCCCTGTAAAAGCAGCAGGAAATGCCATTCCGCATGAGAGCCTCCACACATAATTATGTGAAAGCTGCTTAGAAGCAAGAGCAGCAGCTATTGTTGTTCTGCAGTTGGTATAGACCCTGATTATGACTCAGCAATTCAAAGTGACCATAAAAGTGTCATCATTTTTCACAGATTTAATTCATGTTGAAATTACATCCTTTGTTGTAGTGTTTTCATTAATCCTTACTATTGCTTTACTGAATTTTATTGTATGTATTATAAATTGTAAACTTTACAGTAATTTGAATCCTTCTGTTTCCTTATAAATAAGATGATAAATTATTCTATTAAAGTACCCATAAAGAATCTAATGTATGTAATAGTAAATTTAACAACACCGAGTGTCACTCTAAATAGACTGAGAGAATACTTAAGACATACTTATCTCCTGTAAACATTGCTCTCAGTAGAGACAATTTCAGCAAGAGCAACAACCTCAAATCCAATTTGCTCCCAGGGATTCGCTCCTTGGACCCCTAAAAAGGAGCTGCCTCTTTGGCCCAATGACCCCTCGACTGTTGGGGAGACTCCAGCCCTCAGTGACCTCTACTTTCTCTCTTTCTGCTATTTGAAGTCTTCCACAACATTCTACATCGTGTAGCCATGCGCACTGCACCAACCAGCTAAAAAGCAACCTCGGATAGAATTCCCAATGACATGCTCCCGAATGGCCTTTACAAGAGAAAATGGGATTGTCATAGCATTCACTTGAATTTTCCGGGCTGTGCCCTTTTTCTTTTCACTATTGCTTCCAAATGAATACTTGTATCAATCATCTGATTCCCCAGTCCTCCTAACACAGGAAGGAATGCAGCTTTTTTTGCACTGCTCCTTGTGGCCTTCGTGGTTGTCTGCTAACTTTTCTCAAGAATCAAACTATCATCTGCTGCCATCTTGGATTCCTCTCTACCTGATGTAGGCATTCCTTCACTTCAAGATTGGTGTACTACCCAAACTCCATTGCTGGCTTCCATATTGGAGCAATTCTTGGCTGTGGCCACATTTCTCCTAACCCTGGGCCTGCTCTTAATTGTAAAATTGAGTCATGTTCAGTCTGCCAATGGACAGTCTATCGTAACCATAGAGCAATTCAATATGAGCTTTGTCTCTGCTGGTGCCATATAAAATGGCCAAGGTGATGCCAATTTGCCTCTTTGAATGTCAACTTTCAGTTGACTTGCCCAGCATGTGTTGCATTGTTACAGATTTTTCCCTTGGTTGATTTTAGTAGTTTAAGTTCTGACTTCAATCTTCCTATGGATATTGACTCTAGCATTCTGAATGTGTCAACGGATAATTTTGATATTGTCAGTACTCACTCCACATTAAACAGCACCTCTCCTAGCCTCCAGACAACAGCTATACCTAACATTTGCAGAAGAACTACTGGATTAAAGGGAATGGTTATCAATTGCAATGGCCTTAAGGGCACATATCATTGTACTGAATTTCAAGCCCTTCATAAGCCTGATATTGTCCTTGGCTGCAATTCCAAGCTCCACAAAGCTGTGCCAACCTACTCAGTTTTCCCACCTTATTACACCGTATTTAGAAAGGATTGTGACTGTCATGGAGGAGGTGTGACCATTTGAAATCGTCGGCAAGGAAAGGTCCATCTTTGCATGTGGGAGTGAAATCATCTGGTCTACAATTAAAGTTGGTAGTGGTCAGGCTTTCCACCTAGGATCTTACTATAGCCCACCTTATTCTTCCCAAGAAGTCTTGGAACATTTCTTGGATTCCTTTAATAGTATTCTTGAATCTTCTAACCACCACCCAAATATAATTGCTGCTGGTGACTTTAATCTAAAAGGTATCAACTTGTGAACTGAGGTTCCATCAGCAACCAACCAAGCCACCTTGGCTCAACATAATAGACCACTTCCATTTGTGGAGAAATGTTCTCTCACCCACCATGTGAAATGCCCTACTCGAACAGCACTTGAGAAGACCCTGGACTTATTATTTTCATTATATCCTCCCATTTATTTCCAATGTCTGTACTGTATCTGGAATTAGTGACCATATGGCAACACTATTTCACATCAATATTAAAGCATCATGACCTTTAAACTTCCTTACAAGGTTTTTGTTTACAAAAGGGCTGATTTTGATGGCCTGAGGAATTTGTTTTCGGCATATTCAGTCCAACTGTAATGTTAATAAGTATTCGTTATACCCAAGTTCAGTTATTGCATGGAATCAATTATCTTTATTTATAAGTGATTTTCATTTTTCTAGCATTTCTTATTTATTTATTTATTTATTTCTTATTTCTTATTTCCTTATAACAGGGTTGTCACTAAGGGCCGGAGGCCAGGGATTTCCCCCAGCTACTCAGAGCATGGCCCCCAGAACACACAAAGACTATCCATCAAACTAAATGCAAGTTTCATCTGCAGCAGGTTTAAGTAATTTTGAAATACTCACTTGCAAAAACTAAGAAATGTCGGAAAAAGACGTCTGACTTAGATTTGGTAATAATACACACGCGTGAAAACTCTCTGTTCGTGAAATGTCAGTAGGGAGTTTTAGCAACGACAATGATGATGGCAACAAGAACGTCAAAAAAGAAATAGGTTTATTGAGCAACACAACTAGTTTGCACGTTCATCACACTTTTTTTTCTTTGCCATTACTGCATAACTACGACGTAAAAATGCCTAGTTTCACGTTTTATGGAGGACCTAAACAAGTGATGACATACTTTTCTTTCTCTTTCTAAACTTGAGTGTGGTCCCAAAGAAATCAACTTCAGGGAAATTGGCCTACATTAGCTATTTTCAGCGAATTGAAATAAACGCGAGAAAGTTGAAAAAGATGCCAATTCATGTTAAAAGTGACGTTTTCCCTCCCTTCACCTTTTTCCGTAAGTTGTTTCGCTCTTATGTATAACTAAAATAATGAGGATTAACAATTTATTTTACAGTGCATGTTAATTCATTTGCACCATAAAAGAATCGATTGTCCTTTCAACATTTTTAACATTTGTTAACCTATCATTGTAAATCAACACTTCACTGGCCAGCATGTGCCTTGTCTGCATAAAGATAAGACTGCGAGGATAACGTGACCGGTGCCTACCTGTCATTTTTTTCAGACCTGGTGCTTACATGTACATTCCCATTTGGTGGCCACTACAAAAACCCTCCAACGAGCCTTTGCGTAAAGTAAAAACTTATTATTTTGGTGTTTCAGAATGTTGTGGTTTTCTTTAACAAAGACGTGATCATCATAAAACTGCTAATGATAGCTGTACTCTTGATGAAGATTGCTTTTTTGGGGTGGTTATGCCTTTTCGAAAACAGTAGAAGTTGCACTTCAAAAACTTCTTGGGAGGGGGGGCTCCATGATTGCTTGCAACTTCCCCAGCTACTAACAACAAATACCCGGCAACTTGAAATCTTACTGACAACTCTGTTATAACATATATTTTTCCCATGATTATTTCAGTGTAGATGAAATGTGTAGATAGTTCTTTAAATACATTCTATAGATATCTTCTTAGAACTTGTCATATGAAATAATTTTACATTCTTAACTTTTATTGTCAGATTATTGTCATTATTGTTTTTAGAAGTATTTTATCAAACATCAAAAGAATTAAAACAACTAGGCCAACGAGACTTTCTTCAACAGTTTCTTGTTGACAACGGCAGAAGCACCCAACTATAAAACAATTTCAGCTGTTCAAATAAGCTTTTCAAGGTGAACTCATTCTGAAAATGCTCTGTCATCCATAGACTCTCAACAAAAACGTGTTAAGATGAATGTTTCATTTCACTTCAGTTAGTTGGTGCTAAAAATAGCTTTACAAAGAAAGGGTGAAGCAACTCAGCTTTCTAGAAATGCTCTTTAGTGTCACAACCAGAACAGCAACGCATACTGCATACAGCAATGCAATGCTGAAGCTACCACTCATCAACAAGATCATGCCATTCATAAATTTGACCATGTCATGAAGCAATCATTATGACTTGCTAAAAATTTAGACAACAAAAAAACTAAAGTCCATTTCTTGAAAAAGAGGAGTCAGAAGACAGATGGCTCATTTAGTTTATAGGAATACACTAAATGAGTGCTACTTAACCAAACATCGTTACTTTTAGTAATTTTTTCCTTTTCTTTTTTTCTCCCTAGAAAAAAAATTTAAAATAATTTTACAATTGTTCAATATGAATATTTTTTTAAAAGCATGAGTTGCAATCCTGGCTTCTGTTCTATGCTTTTCAACGCATAGTGGGGTTTTTGCAAGATATCTACGTAGAACAATTTCCTTGTTTCTCAGATGAAATTTAACCTCTTTACAGGCAATGCAATAACACCAACTCAGGAAGGACAGGCAAAGGACCTTATTGTTGAAAAATTCTATGTGGACTTCAGGGAAGCACAATAACTGACAAAAACTGAGTGTTTCAAGGTCCTAAACACCACAAGCAAAAGCACCATTACTTCCTTCAACCTTTTCAAACCAATTGTCGTCCAGGTGGAGGCCAGCTTTTATGAAGGGCTATGAGGTGGACTATTAAAAAAGATAGGCGGTGGTCTCCAACCTGACTTTTTTTCTAAGCCCCACCATAACTTCTATGGAGAAGAGATGATACAGCCAAACAAAAAAAAGAGCCCCTGCAATTCAATTCAAGGATCACCAAGCATCAAAATTATGAAAATCTCGTAAGAATTGCAGCAACTGGGTATCACTTCCATGTTTGTTAGCATTCACAATGGCCAACCTGGTATTCTACAAAGGACCTGTTAGAACACAACACTGTCCCTGTTCAATGTCCCAAGTTCTTCAACATTGTTCTTTTGTTATGTCGCGACATGCGGTAGTTCATTATCACCAATCAGCACCCTTAACCCTTCAGTACGGTCAATGAATTTTTAAAGGTTATTTATAATATTAGTACATACTTTAGAAATAAACGTAACTTTTTCATGTTTGAATATAAGACATGTGGTGTTACAAACAGTCATTTCTTTGGTAACACCTGTAAATTCTTTAGACACTAGGGTCATTCCACAGTAATTTGGACAAAAAATTTCAAAAATAGAAATTGTTTGTGTCAATCAAATTCTTGACAAACTGAAAATATATTAGTTATAGTTTATGAAAATGGTAAAAATTGTTTGTTGCCAGTTGTTATTAATACATAAATTATTATCAGTTACCATTCACAATGAAAATAGCTGTTGCGGAGAGGAAAGTTAATAGGCTACTGGTAACAAAATAGAAAACAGGAATTTTGAAGAGCTGGTATGGGACAAAAGCTACTTAATAAAAGTAACTTTAGTCAGCCAGAGTGACAACAGCAGACAGCATTCTGGATGCTGTTTTCCCTCCGCAACAGTTTTAGGCTTAAAAGTTTTGTTTTTAGGCTGACAAAATAATGAAAAATCAACTTCTTCTTATCACATCTTCTAATTTTTGGTCAAGGCTAAATTTAAATGTTTAAACAGATTTTATTTTTGTCACTGTATTTATAAGAGAATGATAAGTTTCTGTTGCGGAGGGGAATTTTTTTGTGGGAACAAAGCCTCTTGAGAAAGATGCTTACACTGGCTAGAGACAGTACATGTACTATTCTCTTTGGAGTTTACAGCTAACACTCTTTTCATGAGAATTTGATGCCAAGGCAACATGGAGCTTTTTTGAACTGTGCATGGAAAAGGCCTTAATTGTCAATGGTGGTGTTGCTGAGGTCAAGTGGGCAGTATCAGGAGTTCCATTTTACAGAATAAGGAAGTTGTCACAAATGCTCATGAATTTTATCAAGCTTCCCTGAAAGTGTGCAGGAGAATTTGCCCACTATAGATCTCACAAGACCATCATTCATACAGTAAAAAGAGCAAAGGGGGAATGCAGCGGGGGCTGGAAATGGCCTTTGATCATGCCACTTTTTGGCTTTCCATGATCGCCCCAGTTAAGAAATCTGTCAATATTAGAGAACAGTAGCGAGCAAGCCTGAAATGGGCTGGGAGCAAGAAGTTTATCTTCGCAGCGGTTCAACATTGTGAAATGAATTTGATTTTGCCCCTGGTGGTCATTGCTTTCTTTGCTGTAACCAATTTTTTTCCGTGGTAATGTGGAGCATGAGTTTCCCTTCCTTCTGGTCTTACGTTTGTCATTACATGCAGTTTACTATGCTAAGAACAAGACCAGTGAACATTGATCAATAAATCTCATTGTTCCTTGATGCCCATCCTTTTGACTCACTTCACCTCTTTAAATGCAGGCTTTCAAGCTGTGTTTCCTGTTTAGAAGACCCACAAGATGTAAAAGAGTTTATATTTTGAAGTGAAATTCTCCGTGATATTGAAGTGCGGCAGCTGTGAATTGAGTAGAAGAGTTGTCAAAGTTGTTTACGGTTTTACTACAGCTTTAAGTTTAAGACGACAAAAAATGGTGACTGAGATTCTTCATCCCTCATCCTTGATTGCGAACTTACATGTACCCTGGCAGACTTGCACTGGATGATCAAATGGCATGGTCAAATCTGGTAGTTCATGTATTTCTTTAATAAATTTTGCCATGAGATCATAATCTCTTGGTTTTGCACTCTCCCATATGCTTATTTTTGTGTGGTTTAATTTAAACTTTACCATAGTTTCTCACAAATAAAGCTTAGGCAAATGAAAGCTTAATTATTTTGTGTACTTGGAATTCTCTTTTCTCTTTTTTGTGCGAAACAATCAACTTCACTAGTGAAGTAGAAGTCAAAATATCCAGTCAAGAGTCGCAGCCTCCTCCAATCCAATGACAAGTTGATCAGTCAACAGCCAGCGAAGCTGTAGACATCAATATAACGGAACCATTCCAACCTGCGGATTTCAACTTTCCAAAAAAACATTGTGGCAAACAGAATCACGCATTTCAATCCAAGTGGTTTTCGGAATTTCCCTGGCTACACTATAATGAGCAAAGCGATTCTGTGTTGTGTTTCATTTGCATGCAACAAAATGCAAAATCAAATCTTTGAGCTGCCAGAAGTAAGGAAGTCTGCTTTATTTCTAAAGGGTTTTCAAACTGGAAAAAGGCGTTGGCACGATTCAAGGAGCATCAAGTGTCTGAATGCCACAAAATAGCCATTGACTATGAAACAAACCTTTCCAGAACTTGCGGAAATGTGTGGCAAATGTCCAGTGATGCAGCAAAAAAGACAATGGAGTCTAACCGTATATGCTTCATCAAAGTCATTGAATGTTTGCAGTATCTTGCCCGGCAAGGACAGGCTATGCAGGGTGATACCGATGATGAATCAAACTTTATTAAGTTACTTAAACTAAGAGGGAAAGACCAGCCTCTTCTTTTAAAATGGTTAGAGAGGAAAGAGGACAGATACACCTCACACGATATTCAAAATGAAATAATTGCCATCATGGCGAATCATGTTATCCGTGATTTGGTATCGGAAATCAGGGGTGGCTTTTTCTCAATCATATGCGACGAGTACACAGATATCAGTAACAAGGAACAACTAACCATCTGCATTTGATGGGTTGACAAAGAGTTAGAGGCCCACGAAGATTTCCTCGGGTTTTACAATGTACCTGACATAGGCGCGGAGACTATGGGCAATTCCACCATCACGGACGTTACATTCAGACTCAGTTTTATACATTTAAACTTTTACTTATAATATATGAAAATGATTTTTTGCAACTTATCTTCAATATATGTGTTTACAAACATTGGTTGGTTGAATAGGTAATTTTGTTTCCCAATTTGACCTCTTTGATAAAGAGAAAATAAACAGAAAAAGGTATGTCACGGACGTTACATAAAAACAACTACTCCTATAAATACATTTGCATTAAATCAAGATTCCTGTGAATTTTGAATGTTCTTGATAAGAAGTTCTCCAGAAATATTTAGCTTTGGGAACATGTTAACTAAAAATGTAGTGGGCAATTTCATTTCTCTTAGGTCCTTTTGTAGAATCCTTTTTAAGTGTTGTCACGGACGTTACATTCAATGTCACGGACGTTACACTGTGTGAGTTGTTGTCCCAATCCACTGAATAAGGAGGCTTTATTCTTTGCTAACTACAGTAAATGATTATCTTGTGTTAAATATAGGTATTACACGTACATGTGTATCTTTTACAAGTGACTAGTGGATAAAATGGTCAGCAGCCTTAACCTGTGAGCATGCACCTGAGCCTGCAGTTTTGGGAATACTGCTGACCAAAATTCAAATTCCATTGCTAAAGCACATGTATAATTGCCAACTTTGTCTGAAATGAATCCCTTCAAAAAGCCTGTAAATGGAGCAGAAAGAAACAAAAATTACCGAAAAAGAATAAGAGCAAATGCAGATTCATATGCAGCATATAAAGAAAAAGACAGGGAGCGCAAACGTGCAAGTAGAAAGAAAGTTTTGAGTCCATTGGAAGCTGAAAAGCAGAGAATCAAATGCAGACAAAGAGTTAGATTGCACAGGTTAAAGAAAAAAGCAGCTGCTACAGGAACTCCAGCCCCTGCTCATGATCCCAATGATATCGCATTTGCATACAAATCTCCTCAAGCTTTAGGAAAGGCAGTGCACAAACTCACTCCTCTTCTTCCTCACAGCCCAAGAAAAAGAAAGGCGGTTATATCAAAACTTGCCAAATCTAGTGGTCTATCATTGTCAGATAACACCCAGCATTCACCTAGTGGTAATAAGAAAATAGATGAATCCACAGTTCAGTGTGTTCAAAAATTCTACTTTCAAGATTCAATATCTCGGCAAGCCCCAGGACGCCGTGACTATGTGATAGTAAGACAGCGTGGTAAGAAGTCAAAACTCCAAAAGAGACACTTAATGTGGTCTTTGAAAGAGACATTTGGATTGTTTCAAAAAGAAAATCCTGATATCAAGATAAGTCTAAGTAAATTTAGTTCCCTGCGACCAGTGAATGTTTTATTACAGTCATCAATGCCAAGAGAAGTTTGCCTTTGTAGGTATCATGACAATGTGAAGAATCTTTGTGACTGTTTAAGTAAAGAGATTTCCAGTTTTCCTCCCTATTCTGGATCATTTGTTGACCACCTAGTGTGTAACAGCAGCACAGAAGATTGCATGCTGATTAAATGTGAAAACTGCCCAAACTGGCTAGCAGATGTCAAGAAAGATGCCCCACTGGATGAGCTTATTAAATGGAGTCAATGGGAAAGAGTAACCCATACAATAACAACAAAACAAGGCAAGCCAAAAATTGTCAATAAGATGGAGAAAGTGATAAAAGAGGGAACTGTTGAGGAGGCACTTGACTGTCTTCAAGGTCAAATTCCCTGTTTCCTAGAACATGTCTTCATTAAAAGAAAGCAATCAACTTTTTTTGAAGACCGCATAGCTCAGTTGAAAGCAGATGAAGCTGTTATTCAGGTAGATTTCGCAGAAAACTATACCTGCCAATACCAAGATGAAATACAAGCTGCTCACTGGAGCCAAGAACAAGTAACATTGTTCACTGTAGCCATTTGGGTCAAAGATGCAAGCAACACCACAACCTGTCACTCTCATGTCATTGTGAGTAATGACCACAGCCATGAAAAAAAATCAATTGCTGTTTTTGTGGACTTTGTGGTCAACTCTTTGATAAGGATGAGTTATCCACAGATTAAAGTCGTTGATATCTTCTCAGATGGGCCCAATTCCCAGTTTAAGAACAGGTACATGGCCAATTTCTATAGAATATTACAGAAAAAAGGAATGAAGATTAAATGGCATTTTTTTGCCACTTCACATGGCAAAGGAGTTGTTGATGGCTTGGGGGGAACCGTGAAAAGAGTTGTGTGGACTGCAGTGTCGACCAGAAAAGTGCCACAGGTGTTAAATGCAGAGGAATTTGCCAAAGTTGCTACCCAAATGTGCAAGTCAATAGGCATTCACCTGTATCTGAATGAAGACATTGACAAATCCAGCAGCAAACTTGGCCTTGATGAGTGCTTTAAACAGGCAAAACCCATTCCTGGAATAAAAAAGATCCACTGCTTGGATCCAACAGATGGAGATCATCTGCATTGCCATCTGTACTCAAATCAGCTCTCTACACATAACAAAATTGATTTGTCAAGTGACAATTCAGGTTGCTCAGATAGTGAAGTTTCAGTCTCTGAAGCTGGAAGCGAAGATGCTGTAAGTGTTGATGATGATGACAATGGCAGCGATGATGAGGATGATGATAGGGTTGATGATGATGATGATGGCAGCAATGATGAAGTTGAGGGAAATGTTGATGATAATGATGATAGCAACGGTGATGATGACAGTGTTGATAATAATAGTGATGGTGCCAGAGACAGTGATATTCAAATTGAATTAGGCTTGCCTAATCACATCAAAGAATGTTTCAACAAAGAGTGTGATGAGTTTGAACTTCACCCATGTGGTAACTTTCTGGTACAGTTGATTATGGGCGAAGGAGTTGATTTTGAGGGTGATTCATTAATTGTTATGAATGACTTGAAAGAATTAGAAGGAAATCTTCCTCAGGATGAATTGAAATGGCTTTCGAATTTTGTCATTGATTCATATCTAAAAATACTAAAATCAGAAAGCGCTGGTGTTGAAGTGTTCGGGTGGGAAGAATTTGAGAAAGGAGTGGGGAAAAGGAAAGTGGAACAGCTTCTTCAAGGCAAAGGGAATCTATTACAACAAAATGCAGTATTTTTCCCCTGCAACAGTCCAAACAGTGAGCATTGGTTTCTTGGAGTGGTGCTTCCAATGGAAAAGAGTCTTGTTGTCCTTGATAGTTTGCCTGGGCAATTCGTTAAGCCAACAGTATCCAGACGGGTGAAAAAGATGATGTCATTCCTCCAAAGGACAGACACGTCTATCAACATCAGCGAATGGTCTTTCTATGTCAATAAACCGGGTGAGATTCCCCAACAAGTGAATCAATTTGATTGTGGTGTTTTTACTTGTCTATACGCAAGATGTTTGGCAACCAAATGCCTCATGATAACTCAGCCACACATTCCAGCATACAGGAAACTGATGATTAAAGAACTACATCAAAAGAAGCTTTCTCCCATTCCACCAACACCTGTCCAAAAAGGAGAATACTATGCAGTTGACTATGTGAAGAATTTTTACATTGGCAGAGTTTTGGATGTCACTAAAGATTGTGTACAGTTTAAGTTTCTGCATAAAGTTGGGGCAACGACCTTCCATTGGCCTAGAAGAGAGGATGTGGACCAAGCACACACTTCAAGTATATTTTATGGTCCAGTTACAGTACCTAGTTTTATTAGTGGACCTTTCACAATTCCAGAACTGTCACACGTAGAAAAACTTTTCAAACTCATTAGAAAGTTCAGAAAGTTCTCAAAGTAATGACAGTACAATGTATACTTTATGAC